ATAAGCATTGCAATTTAAAAAAAAAAAAAAAAAGAAAGAAAAAGAATAAAAGATAATCCAGAAATTTGGTCAACTGGCTTGAATAATCTCATAAAAATGTCTAATAAATGCTTTTGGTGTGATGCTATCACAGGCATGGAGTAATAGTGCAATCTCTATTTTGAAGATAGAGAAAAAGTTACAGTAAGTGGTTTCCTAATTCTCTGCCAAAAAGAGGATCATAGTTCTGCTACCAGCAAGGGGACACGAGAGAGATGCCTCTGGGCATGCAAATTGCAACACGGCATGAGAACAGCCAAGCCAACTTTAAACTCTGCGTGGGTACCTTGAGAAGGCTCAGCTCTAGGATGCTACAGCTGAAGGGACTGATGTGGATGTCACTTAAAATTATCTGAGGAGGTCAGACTATGCAGTCTTCATAGTGACTTGCCATTTGCTGAGAAAATGTGCACCTCTGTGTCTTCTGCAAGCCAATCTAATTCTGGAAAACATTTCTCCGGTGTCACCAGCGCTAAGTAACATGCTCTGCTGTGATCACACGCTCAGCAGCCCTGCTCAAACTGTCCTGTGCTGCGTGCAGTACAGATGGCTGTTTTGCGAAGGCTGCTGTGGCTGGGACCCGGCCAGGAGTAGCCATGAACACGTGGAGCGAGTTCTGCAGACCTAGCGGAGTTCAGAGTTGTCAGACTGCTGCTCTTTGGTAGGTTGTATCGGTCTCTCCTTCACGTGTCGCGTTGCGGGGTGTAACCACACGTCAGGCAGGTCCCCGGGAGCAAGGCCGTGTCAGCACCAGAGGTGCAGAGCATGCCAGTTCTGCTGCCACACAATTGCATATGTTGCATTGCTGCTGCCTGCAGTCTGGATGATTTGAAAACACCATGTGTCACCTAAACATCTAACCGGATAATGGGGCTCAGCCTTGCATCTCTTTATAACTCTTTTAATGCCCACATCGTACAAAGGTAGTTGTAAAAATTGAGCTGGGAAAACAGGATTGTTTTGACCTTGTTAAAAATTCTTGAAGCAAAATGTTCTTTTAAAAAGCTGACTGAATTCATATAACTCTGAACTCATATAACTCTCTTTCTCAGGCTTATTTTTCATTTTCTCGCTCTTCTCTGTTTCCTGGTTCTGACTGGGAGGAAATGTCAAAATACTGCAAAAGAGGCTATTTGTACAGCATTTATGAGCCAACTAGAGGGAGGAAGCACCTGAACTCCCATGGGAACTTATCCTATGAGCTTAGCAGTAGAGGCTCGAGAGGTCCTGATAATTAATGCAGCGTACTGGCAGGCACTGGAATTGGGGCTGAGACCTCTGTGGTCTTGTTTGTATCCACACTGGTTAGTAAAATCTCATTGCTCTCCCAGTTGGAATTTTTGAAGAGTTGCATTCATTTCTTTTCTAGAATTGAAAAGCCAGAAAAGAAGCAGGTTTGTGTTTTCAGACGTAGGAGCACGGTGCGCAGGTACAAAACAAATTGCTGAAGCAAGACTGAGTTTTTTTAAAGTTTCCTGTTAGTAAATACATCTGTGGGACTAGAGGATATCTTTGAGCAGCAGTGTTTATACTGTACCAGATGAAACATTTAAAAGTTGGATGTTCACAAAGCAGCCCCCAAAGTAGCTAATGGACATTCTGGCCCTGGCCACGGTTGAGGCTCCATAGCTGCCACAGAGACCATGCTGTTTCCTTGCCTGCACTCTGTCTCAGTCTGGCAGTTTAGAGAAGTACAGCACGATAAACGCTCCCAGGACTCCCGCGGGGTTGCTGAAAAACCTAAACTGCCTTTCATCTGTTTATAGAGAGGCTTGGGGCCCTGCTTGCGGGAGCAGAGGTCATGGAAACACGTTTATGACACTGTGAATGCGCCGGACTCCTTGAATGGCAGAGTTTATTTGATTTAATCAGCATCCACAGGGATCCTGTAATTGCATAATAAGTAATTTATTATGGATGTAAGAGTATTTTTCTAACTCTGGCCTATGTAGATGGGGTTTGTAGTTTTAGGCTAATCCACGTAGTAAAAAGAGCTTTGCAAAGCAGTCTGCCTGTGGCTCTAGTGCTCTGTGATGAGCACATGCTTGCATGGCTATTTAATCAGCAAAAAGTGTTAAAACAACGGGCACATTATCACTACGCTAGATGTAAAATCTGTTCGCTGTTTGCCTGTCTTCAGCAATTTGGTGTTCTCAGTGTGCAAAACTAGAAAACAGTCGCAGATAATGTAACTGGTTGGTGGTGAATAATTATTGACTAGAGTGAAAATAAAATCATCAGGCCATGGAGGGAAGAAGGCTTAGGATGACCTATTGTCCCTGAAAGCAGCTACGGATCAGGGAGAGCTGCAGAAGTGAAGGTCTTCCAGGGAGCTTCCTGTGCAAAGCCTTTGTCACTGAAACCAGAGAACCTCTGCATGGCCTTATCATTCATAATTCAGGCGTCCAATCTGGAAAAATTTCCAGGACTTCAGATTGCAGTGGTTGTAGATGATCAGAGGTTTCCCATTTGCTAGATTCTCTTTACCTGAAGACAGCAGTTCAAGGCCCCCAGCTAGAAACAGAGAGCTTTGTAGTTTTAGAGGGAAAAGGTGAGGAGTCAGTTCCATGAGAGTCGTGCCTGAGAGTGAAATGCTGTGGTTTTCTTCACAGAAGCTTGTGATCTCAGTAATACCAGAAGTAGGTTGCTCTGCCTTTCCTGTTAAGTGTTTCTAAGGTCATAACATTTTTTTTGAACTTGAAATTCATTTATTGGTATCTAAATAAAATTGGAAATAAATTAACATAAGGGAAAACTAACTTCTTTTGTAACTCCATTGACTTCCTGTATTTTAGCTTTTTAGCTATGCTTAACATGTGTAAGCCAAGATTTATAGAAATTGTTGATCATCTCAGCAATATTGCAGTCCAGTGAAACACTTTTCCTAGCTCTTCTCCCTGGCCATATAGTCATACAGAACATAAATATCAGTACCAGATTATTAATACTGAACTGTTAAGAAAAAAATGGAGCCTGAGGTCTTTAAAATCAGTGAAGGAAGATTCATCAGTCTTTAAAGTTAAAAAATAGGGATCCTAAGTATAATGGCAAGAGAATCCAAGAGCCGCTTTGATGAGAGCAAGGTGCAAAACCAGGAGTTTGGTGTCTGAAGTGAGGGAGAAAGGTGGGAAGGAGGGAAGAGAGAGAAATGGATTTAAGTCTCATCTCTCACAGGGCTGTTCTTACATGTTTTTCTTGTTTTGGCCTCCCTCTTTTTTTTTTATTTTGTCTTCATTTTTTTTTTGTTCATCTTCTTCTAATTCATACCTAACAGTATAAACTCTTTTAGTTTTGTTTCGTTTCCCCTGAGGATGATTTCCTGCTTCCGTATGGATAACATCTTTGCATTTTTTTGTGGCTCTTCAGATTTAGATTTCCTGTTCCCACATAAGCCTAGTTAAATGCTATCTCAGCAATTTATACAGAACGCCTGTTTACCCTAGTCTATGACAAATTTATGTATCTTGTCTTCATCTTTAACATAGATGGATAATATTCATACGTGTATATGTATGAACAGTCTCCCCTATAATACCTTACTTAGTCTGAAACTATTCCATTCAGTTGTCTTTCTTGGTGAGCAATTCTGCCTTTTAATGCATAGTGTCTTCAGGTAATTGGAAGTAGTAGCTGGAGAAACAAGATTCTTCTTGTGTCCACAGGCCACATTAGGGTACTGTGTCTTGTAGCTCTCACTGATTCTCTTTGGGCTTGGGATATGAAAGCTGTTGAAGGTTTCTCTGTTGACTGTTCATATTAAATTAAAGGTATAGATCACTAGGGCCTATCCAGGAGGAGCAGAATTGGGCTCAAGAGGACTGGATGAGGAGCAAGTTTGTCTAGTAACTACAGCACAGGCAGGAGCTGTCGACACTATTGCCCTTTGTGTGTCCTTTGTCTTTCTCACTGGTACAGCTGTGGTGTAAGAACATAGATTACATGTCACTTAGCTTCGTCTCAGCACCGTTTCTGGATATTTAAGTAAATAGACAGGAATTTTTGGAAATGAGCAGCAATGATGAACAGATAGAAATTGCCTTTGTGCTGGTGCTGCAAAATGTGGTGGCACTGCTGTCTCCTCTCCATTGCTTTGCATTGGGAACTAATAACTCATTTGCTGAGAGCTCTGTCAGTGAATGGTGACAGTAGTGAAGAGATTGAAATGGTAGTATGTGCTCCACTTGTAAGAGATGTCATTAATGAGATAGTTGGATTTATCCAAGGGAAAGGCAGATATCCTAGATCAATCTTTAATACACATTTCATGGACTGTAAGATAGATACTCCTGAGAATAGAGAGGCTTCCTCCGGGCTTTCATAGATAATGTTAATGCTCCAAAGTGAGAGGAGAAAGTTGGCACCAAGCTAAGCAAGGTAAAATGAAGGAGCTCACAGGGAATTTTGTTTCATTTGGGAATCCACATTCCAATAAATAGTAATGAAGAATTTGGTTGAATTAAGGAGGTTAATATCTCAGCCATTCCTACTGAAGTCTTATCTGTCAATGTGTATTTTTTTTCAGTCAGAAGTAACAATAAATATAAAATTGCTATTTTAATGAGAAAACATGAAAAACAGACTCTGAAAAACTCTTCCACAGAAGAGTTTATTAGATCATAGACAGCAAGAAGGAAAGAACGCTTAGCAAACAAAACTTCATATAGAAACGGAAATACGACCTCTTTGTTAGAAAAACCTGCTGTGCTGCATGTAGGAAATCTTTGTCAGAGACCATTCTTAGGACCTTTTTCTTCTTGAGACACGTCTGAAGTGGGAGGCATCCATGCAGCGCTCCAGTTCCAGTAAATCTTTCATTGCTCCCTGTGAAAAAGCATATAGCCAAAGATACAAGAAGACTTCATTGCTATTGGTGGTGGTTAATTTCAAATCCCTTTCTTTCTCTCTTTCTCTCTCTCTCTCTTGCATTCTCCTTTTGTTTCTTTTATTATTTTTCCCTTCAGGCTGTAAGAGAAAAGATAGAGCCAGATGATGCATTGATGTATGAAGAAGACTTGGACGATGAAGACTGTGGTGAAGCAGAATTTGAAGAAACCACAAAATTAAAACTGCTACGTAGAATTGCCTCCCTAGCATCCAAACTGAAGGAGTTTATTGGCAACATTATAGCCACCACTGGAAAAGTTATTGTTACAGTTTTACTTGGTTCAACAGGTTGGTGCTTTTGAAAAATTTCCTCCAGAGCCCATTAGATTATGCATTTAACAAATGAGTTTTCAACACTTTGGCACCTGTGGGAATAACAATGGAAATTTTTAAAGGGAAAGAAATTGCTGCTGATTTTATATAAATTAACTTTTTGGCAGGCATTGGAATATGCTGAGTGGCTGTTTTTTTTTTTTTTTTTTTTTTTTTTTTTTTTGTATTAATACTATAAGGTCCTGTCATTCTGTATATAGTTTTCACAGTGATGATACTGTGAATTCATAGATTGGATATACTTCCTAGTATAAAAGGGAAGTAAAAAATTGCCTAAAAAATAAAAGGAAAAGAAAGGATCAACAGCTAAACTATGCAATGCATAACAGATAAGCTGACTTCGTGTTGGCTTTTACTGTGACGTTAATGTTTGCGAAAGTAGCTGTCTTGATATGATACAGCCAGCTTGTTATGGGACTGTAAAAAGACATTCACTTTAGTCGTACACAGTATGCAGCTACATATAATGAGGAATTACACCAAAGACTGCAGGTTGTAATGAATGGATTTAAAATTGGGTTATTGAATGGTAAATTAGCAATTATTTGTCTACTGGGATGATATTTGAATGGCGTCCTTAGATATAAAGTATAAGTACATGTAAAATTGTATGCTTATATAGAGAATATAAAGTATATAAAACATAAAACAATAGTACAAAAAAAATTTGATGTCGAGTGGTGGGGACAGATCTAGTATGGCTTTCTTAATAAGGTAAGCTTATCTAACTGACTTACCTATAGAACAATTCAAAGTTATAAATCTAAGAAGGAAAAAAGGGAAAAAAAAAAAGTTATGTGGATCACCATGGAGAATAAACATGTGGAAGAGAGAAACAGAGAAACATTAGGGAAAAATGTCTAGCAATTACAGACAAATAAATGTTTCTTTGCCATTCTGAAGCTGCATGGGTGAACAAAATCCATGGAGAAAAAAAGAGAAATGTCACACAGATGTGGTAGCTGGCATTTTCTGCTGAGTGTCATTTATTATCATGTCTTCATGATCCCAAAATATGGTGAGAACTGGGAAATGTCCAAAGGAGAGTTACAAAAATCATGCGAGGTCTGGACAACCTCTATTCCAGTGGGAGACCTCAAGCTTAATTAGCCAAATACTTCCTTTCTGCCTGTGCCAAAAAGAAGAAGGAAAAAAAAAAGGATAAATGGTGATTCGTTACACCGAAAGTGCTAACAAATGTACAAAAAGACTACATTTCCTACTACAGATTTCCTGTGTAGTAGAAGTTATGAGGTGATCCTGTAGTTAAATGATAAGCTTAGGCAAACTGAGACATGAAATATATTTTGACTTTTTTTTTTTTCCACAGCCAGGGTAATTGTCCATATAAACAGTTTATTTGTGGATATAGATTATTCTGCTTCCTGTAAAGGGCTTAAATAAAAACAAAGTATCTATTTAAAAGAAGAAAGAAGTAGTTACATGCTTGAGGCAGGAATTCCTGGGAGAAGTTTTGCGGCCTGCATTCTGGAGGCAAGCAGAATAAGTGATTCCTGTCACCCCTTTATGTTTTTAAATCCATGAGCTTGTGGACACACTAGCTGGAACACATCTCAGGTAGCAACTTGCTCTGAAATGTTGTGCAAAAAGATGTAATAGTGAAATGCATACAAAACTACTATGGGTAGGAGTCCATATAGTATCTATATAGCATTAGCGATCTTACCCATAGTCAAGTGGTTGTGTCCCTCAGCTTATGACAACTGTAGTGATGCCCCTGCAAGTTGTTTCCTGTTCTCTCCTGTTTTCTGTTTTCAGGCATGGGCACCTTTCACACTCCTCACTCGTTTTTGTGGGCTACCATAAATGTGCCAGTTTAGCCATTTTTCCAAGTGGAATATTCAATTACATGCACAAGAGGAAAAACAGTGTAGATATAAAAGACAGCAGGGTCCTTGTCATGTGTAAAGTACAAGTTTCTATGAGTTAAAAGGGAAAAAATAATTAAAAAAAGCTGATTATTCTCTAGATACCTTTTATTTTCAGCATATACATCCTTTTATAAATTGTTAATGAATAAAAGTTCACTGAATAAAATGAATAATGTTCATTCTGAAGTCTGGTATATTAAAAACATTAGTAGTGTTCTCAGACACTGTCCTTGCAGAGAAGAGTTTATCTGGCAGGAAAGATATGAAGCGTGGTTATGCGCAAAGTCCTAAGGTATGGCGTGAGTTGAACAAAAAAAGGGTCTTCTTATCATCTAGTCTTGCAGCTAATAGCCATCTATTATTATTAAGTGCTAATAGTAATAAGAACAAATTGTTTAATAAAGTTCTTGCCAGACTTAATAATTAGCAGCATGTTTTTCAGAGTTTTTCATTACCCTCTGTGTTTGTTTTCACAGGTATGATGGTGCCATCTTTGACCTCAGCTGTGTATTTCTTTGTGTTTCTGGGGCTGTGCACATGGTGGTCCTGTTGCCAAGTGTTTGATCCGCTGATATTCAGCTGTCTGTGTGTATTAATGGCTATATTCAGTGCGGGACACTTGATTGGACTTTATCTGTACCAGCTACAGTTCTTTCAGGAAGTTGTTCCCCCCAGAGATTTCTATGCCAGGTGAGAGAGATTTTTTCTTGTTTAGTTGGGGCATCTGTCATCACACATGGAGGCAAGAGGTCCTCTCTCTGATGGTGTGACATATTTTTATGCATAACTTTGACATAATATTGTGTTCAGTCTTTAGAGTGAAAACACGCTCTGGACCGAATGGGTTTGGATGATAGAGTTGTGTGTGGGTTAGGAGGAGAGGAAGGTGATTTTTGTTTTGATCTGGAGATCCTCAGGTGTGAATGAGAAAAATTTGGCTAAGCCAAGCAGGAGAGAAAGGAGGTATCAGTGAAAAACTGCCATGAAGGCAGCACATTCATGCACGTTTTTGGCAGCAGGGAAGTGCTGTAGGGCCAAAGGTAGTGATGGTGATTGACACAAAACGTATCACCATAGAGTGCCAAGCAGGTGGTGCTGGGCCTAATATGAGGCTTTCAGTGCAACCACTCTCCGTGGTTGCATGCGTGGAACATGCTGGTCTTATGTTCATGCCAACAGCAACATCACTTAGTTCAAAGAGCAGCATCTCTAGATGTTACAGCAGTAAATATTGATTAGGCAGGATTTCCTTGACCCTTTAACTCTTTGCATTCCTTTATACCTTAATATAAAATAAAATATAGAGGCATGCTTTGGGGTGTATTTATTCTTTTCTTTTTTCTTTTTTGTTTTCTTTTCTGGATTATGATTGCAAACTGCTTTTTGGTATTTCATTGTATTTCATTGAGTTAAACTACATGTGAACCTCAACTTTATTTCTAATAGGCCCATTGTTCCTCTTATGTATTGTGGGTTGAATATGAAAGCATATTAGACATATCGAGGTGAATAAATGAATGTTTTATATATCAGTGTACTTCATCAAAAGCAGTAGCAAATGAGATACTTATATTCAGTAATTTGCACTTGAATACTTTTTGACATTATATTTAGTACTGATTGATAGATGTATAATTATTTGTGATGTTGTAGTTGATGAGGCTGATTTTGGAGGCATAATGTTACACGGAAAATCAGAAAAAGCCCACGTAGTTTAGGTTTTTTTGTGCCACCTAGGGGTGAGTTTAGAAGAATGCCAGTAATTCTGAGTAGCTAGAATAGTCATAAATTGCCTAAAACTTTTATATTCCTTTATGCCTGTGTATTAAGAAAAGAAGCAGAGGAGGATTTCACTACTACCAGATATTGGGGTATGAAGATATTGCCTCACAAAGTTCAGGCAGAAATAAAATGTTCTCACTCTTCAAACACATCATTTCTAAAATCACTGTTATTTTGGTTACTCATTTTCAACTAACTTAATTTTCAAATAATTTGGTTTCTGTATTACTTTTTGTTGTAAAAAGGATACTTCTACATTTTATGATAAAATTTTGTTCAATGCCAATATGTCAGTTTAACTTAGTTACTTCTTTCTGGAATGAAAGAGTCAGTTGCAAGTCCAATGTCTTTACACACTGTAGAAATAAAAATCACCTTCAGAGTTTGGATAAAAAAAGTCTCAGTTTTGGGCTTTGGATCATTTACTGATTCTGCTAGCTTTTTTTTGTAAGCAAAATTCATGTAATCCTATTGCAGACTGTCTCTTGAACTGGCAATGTAATCTTTCTTTTACACATCATAAAAGGTGAGAAGCTGATATTCTAAGTTACCTAGGAAATCATATTTGGACATGCAAAACTATGATGACAACTCAACTGCAGTAAAAATGTCTTATTTCTTTCTTTAATCACTTTTCTTTCTTCTGTGCCTTTACTTTGATCTGCTTTTAGGGAGATGTGTTTAAAGAGCATCTAAACAGGTGTTTTTGCAAATCTGAGTGTGAGGAAAAGCTGCAAATGGAGTAGGACTAGTATGCAAGTAGTGGCTAGAGGACAAAAACGGAAGTCAGATGTACTGGAATGGTGTGGAAAAAAGTATTTTGCACTTCCCATCCTAGAAGTATGTTACCTTGTTTTTCAAACTTTCGTGGTTTGAAGCAGACTTTAATAACGCCAAGTTCCCATTAATGCTAGTGGGTGGTTTGTATATGTAAATATGTAAACTAAATGCTGAGAAAGGAGGCTGATGTGCAGTACTCTGCTCCTCATGAAAAATGCGTTTAATGTCTCTTTGGAGGAGATCAGCGGATCATTCTCATACTTATTCAATGGTATGAATTCTCACATATTTTGTTCTGATAAAATTGCTGCATTAAAAAAAAAAAAGATACAGTAGGTGTTTGTCTTAGCTCGTGTTAGCTTTAGTATTGTTAGAAACTGACCTTTAGTCATACCCAGAGGGAGAGGAAATCTAAGAAAGACGGGCTTTTATTTCTCTGTAAAGTTTTGAGGGCTCGATCCCCAGCTCCAGCTCCTCGTTTTGTGCAGATGCAAGGGCAAATGTGAAAATCACTCCTGTTGGCCTAATGAAGGATAATATTCCTCTCTGAGGAGCATAAGACTGGTATTTTTAAAAGCTGCTAACATTGTTTTTTTTCTGGGTTTGAGATTCCCAACTTCACAAGAAATGTGCAAGTTGTTTCTGCTCAGAATAACATGTGTTGTCTTTGGATAGCAATGCATGTCAGCTTGCCAGGATATCAATTGATTTCAGACTAGATGAAGCCCAAACAAGCTGAAAAGTTCTCTAATTAACAATATTTTCAGCTAGACTTCCTTCCACTCTCTTACTGCTCCTTTCTTTTAGGACTCCTTCAGCACAAAATTCAGCACTTATGGGTGTAAGAACCATTGTTGCTGTCCTCTGTATTTGCCATATTGCTATCAACTACCATAAGGGCACTGATCTTCTCCAAAGCTTCAGATCTACTGTTGCTCCTCTCTGCTTCTGAGATGTGCCTGTAAAAGGGGCACAAACACTAGCACACGTTCAAATGCAATCCAAAGTGCGCTGGGGTCTGAAGGCTAAAAAATAGGGTAGGGTACAGGGTGCTGAGAAGTGTGAATATAACCAAAGCGTCAGTGAATGCCTGCTAGCAGCAGAGCTTGGACACAGCTGCATTTGCCACTTAAAGCTTTCATGTCTCTGGGCCAGCCCTTAGTGGAGAAGTGAACATCATCACCCGAGGCAGTGCCCTGAGCACTTTGAAAATAGCGGTCCCAGTGGCTGCAGGAAAGCCAGTGTTAATAAGGTTGAATATATTCTTCATTTTGGAGTTATCTATTTGCATAAGTTAACACTGGATAAATGCAAAGTGATCTCTGTTGTATAAAATGCCTGCAGTTGCTTTATAATTTCCTTTAAAATGTTAACTGTGTTGATTTGCTGCCTTATTGTGAAACTGGTGATTTTTTAAAGAGTTGGGAAAACAACAGGAAGAAAAATCTAAAGCAAAATTCTGAAAATATTTTACCAATACCGTAAAATTCTTTTCACTTGATTCAATAAAAACAAGTCAATGAGCTAAAATGACTTTAGAAATTATGTACACAGTATCACAGCCTGAAAAAATACACACAAATATGTTTGCCATTTGCACAGATTTCTGCTTCCTTTCTTCCTGATTTTGTTTATTTCGGCAAAAGGATATAATCTGGGCAAAGATAAGGCCTTGCCAATATGAAGAAATAGGATCAGTGCAGTGGCATGAAGTTTATTCTGAATTAGTAAAGTTTTTATGTCCAAAACTGTGCTTAGAAGCTTATTCATTTAAAAAACAGCGATTAGATGTAGATTAAAACCTATGTGCTTCCTTAGAGTTTTCGGTCTGTCTTATACTGCCTCTAATTTCCAGGGAAACATTCCAGGAGTAACATTCAAAATAGTTTTAGTGGGAATGTGTTCATCTATGGGAAGAAGTTGCTCCTATAAAGCGAAGCAAACCTGGGAGTCCAGGGAGTGCCAGCTGCTTGATAGCAATATGTTTATTCACGTCTTCTTTAAGTGAACAGAAGTCTGGGGTTACGTAACTGATTGTTTCATTGGAACCTGAGTGCAAAAGACAAATCTAAGGTTGTCTTTTCAACATGAAAGAAATTCTCATCTTAAAAATGACTATAAATCTCTCAAGGAGAAGCCTTTTAAATTGAGTTTTTACTGTGATTAGTAATAAATATTCTTAAACATTTATTTATTCATTTAAACTTTCCTACAGATAGAGTCAGAATAGCCAGTTTGTTTTCAAATTTATCTGAGATGGGTCTAGTCCAAAACCCTCTGAACGTCCCTAAAAGCTATGATCTAGTTTCAGAATGTGTAGACCAAATTCTCTATGCATCCAGGGTAATAAATGAATAAATGCCTGTCTAATAAAAACAGTGCTATTGAACGTATGTGTAAGCACAGTCTCGACACATTCCCAGAGTGATGTGAGCAGAGTGGGAGATCCAGGTGCAATTTTCTTTTCTAAATTAGAGGCCAAGCATGCCAGTAAAGTCTTAGCAGGAGAGTAGATGGTGCCAGTCAAAGAAGCAAGATCCATCACTCTGTTGGAAGTGCCTTCATCTCCACAGGGCAAAGCACTGGTCTTCTGCTGGGCTGGTAGCTCTGTTGGAGCCCAGAGCTAGGAAATAGTGTCTCACTCGAGTTATACCTACTATTAGTTCTTGCTGCAGGCCATTTTTGGCATCTGTCTCAAAGGTGGCTCACCTGTAGGATATTCTTCCTCTCATACGAATTTCCAAGGTTTTTGGAGCTGTCCTGTGACTCAGTCATAAGTCAGTGTTCAATAAGACAAGAGTGCTTGAAGATCATTTGTGTGTCCTGTATTGCACTGCCTATGGTTGGAGCAGTTTTCGTGCCTTCTGCCTGGCTTTTACAACCATGGTACTACAATCCCCAGTGCCAGAGTGGCGGTGATGGATACCCCTAAGGACAACATCCCACCTTGATTCCGCCTCCATCATGCTCTGTCAACCCAAGCAGCAGCGCACTTGCTGAGTATGCCCCAAACCATGCAGACTGGTCATCTCTTGATATGTATCCTTACTCTTCTAGTAATCTCTTACTAAATGAGGTACCCAGGGCAGTGCTGATCTCAAAGCAGGATTCTGCAAAAGACATTTTGT